AGATAGTAATTATAAATTTACACTAATTTTTTATGAGTATATGGTAATTTCTTCTCTTTAAATCTATTTTTGGTAAAGAACTGAGAAAAAGAACTTATGAGAATATAAAGCACTAGACTATCAGTATAATAGTATTTTTTATATTATAGTAATTATTGTTTTGGTCATTTTAGGTAGTGATAAGTTTTTTTTAAAATTAATTTTTGTAAATTTAATAAATTTAAGTAATGTCGTTTAAGACATATATTGTAATTATTATATAAAAAATTATTTTAACTCTATTAACTATCTGATTAAAGTATTTTACATAATATTGATATTAAAAATAAAATCTATTTTTTAAATTTTTTTTATATAAATTAATAATAAAAATATTTAAAAAATACACTTTTAAAAAAAATCTTAATATAAATTACTAATTAGTACCAACTCAACACTGATGTTGGATAAAAAATACCACCTTATTGTCATATATGTTGAGGGGCTGATTTGTGTTTGTTTTTAGTTGAGGGGTTGATTTGTCACCATTCACTGAGTACAGGGGCTAATTTGCCTTTTTGCCCTTTTTTTAAGATTTGAATTGCCCTGTGTAATTTCAGACCGGCCCGGTAAGCAAAATACCGGCCGGTACCCTGGAATTTGACCAAAAAATCAGAATTTGACCGAAATGAATTTTAACTTTAAACTATTTTGGTTTAATTTAAAAACCGATATGTACTAACCGTATCGATCGATACAAAACAGATTTCACTACTTTTGTTTAAACCCTAAAGGTGGCAAAATCTAAAGAAAATTTTTTAATAACTTTAAACTGTTCGGTTTAATAATTTAATGCTTTGCATCAGTTCAAATGATTCTTTTGGTTTCATACAGTTCAACCACTTGTCAGTTCTAATCACTCACCCGATCCATTTATAACATCGGGTACTGGTTTGATCAGTTCGATCGACTAATCCAATCCAATTTTCAAAACAATGGGCAAAATAGTTGTAAAGATAGCAAAGGTTGTTTTGCCAAGAGTGCAAAGGTTGTTTTGCCAAAAGAGCAAAGATGAAATTAGGGTTTCTTAGGATTAAAATGGGTAGGTAAAACTTACAAACAACTGTATTTAAACCAATAATCTAAAAGTTATGGTCAATAATTTAAATAATTTAATAAAAAAAATTTCTTTAAAAAAAATGAAGTTTTGAGTTTTGATCATATAAAATGCAATAAGATAGGTGAGATGGATCAAAATACTTATTTTACGAATTTCAAAATCAATAACAATAATAATAATTTTAAAGTTGTGAAGTGATAATTTTTATTACAATTTACATTAAAGTTCTTAGTGGGAAAGTATTAATATGTATTATTGGTTTATGTTTATAAATTTTATGTTTTTGAAGTCAGAAAACATAATAAATATGAAATTTAAGTATTGAAATTACTAAAATATTATTAATAAATTAATATAATAAGAATTTTATTAAAAATATTTTAATAAATTCGTAATCAATCCTAAAATTATCTTTCAATTAGTAAATGCTCATATTCTCCTTCTAATTTCTCAAAAAAAATATCTCTATAAGTTTATTACCTTTCTAGTTTCTATTTATTTTTTTCTATTTTTGGAAAACTATTTCTTTCCTTCCATGAATGGTTATATTGTCTCATCAAGGAGAAAAAAAAAAGGATCAACCCGAAATTGTAACACTTTCAAAATAAGAGAAAATTGTAATACAAATAGAGTTCTCTGTTTTTAAGTTTGGATAGTATTGGTCTATGGTATAATATTATTCTATGAGAAAAGAGATAAAGATCTATTTTTATAATAATTAAAATTATATAATTCAGTATTGTTTAAATTGTAAATTATTTTTTTAATTTTAATTTAGTATTATTTAAATTGTAAATTATTTTTTAATGCTAATAACTCTTATTTTTTTCAACAAAATAGTAAATTATATAAATAATTATTGTACCATTTAATAGTAAAACAAACGTAGAAGGATAGAAGTACACACATAAGACTTTTTCTTTTTTTTTTTTACATTTATTTTATTTTTCATTAATTTAATATAAATGCAATTCAGGTCCAACCAAAACAGGGGAGACTGAATCGAATGAAAGTAAAACAGTGAGGGTGCAAGTTAAAGCTCCCAACTTTTTGTATGTTGGAGAGGGAAGCATGAATCTAAGCTTCCACCCAAGAACGCTGGCAAAAACCCAAAGATGGGATTCTCTTAAATCTATCCAAAATCTACTTTTCCGGTCTCTCTCGCATTGCCAAGCCACCGCATTGGATGCCGAAGGTCCCTCCTTCGGTAGGAAATCAGTATCTGCTAACCCATCCCAAGCCCAGAAGCTGTTCGACGAAACTCTCCAACCAAACCTCGCTCGGTGCAATAGCTTGCTTTTCCAGTATTCACGGAACAACCTCAACAGAGAAGCTCTCAATCTATTTTCGGGTATTCGGAGGTCGGGTTTTCCTGTTGATTCAATGACATTTTCTTGTGTTTTGAAGGTCTGTGGTTGCTTGTTTAATGAAATAGTTGGTAGACAAGTGCATTGTCAGTGTGTGAAATTTGGGTTTATAGAGGATGTTAGTATTGGGACTTCTCTTGTTGATATGTATATGAAAACAGAGAATGTGGAGGATGGAAGGAGAGTTTTTGATCTTATGGAGGAAAGGAATGTCGTTTCTTGGACCTCATTGCTTGCGGGGTATGCACAGAATGGATTCAATGTGGAAGTTTTGCATTTGTTTTTAGCAATGCAAGTGGAGGACGTTAAGCCAAATCCGTTTACCTTTTCAGCTGTTCTTGGAGTTCTGGCAGATGAGCAGTTGACAGAAACTGGGCTACAAGTTCATACTGTGGTTCTAAAGAATGGGTTTGAGACGACTATGTTTGTGTCTAATTCTTTGATTAATTTGTATTTGAAGGCAGGTATGGTTCCTGATGCCACAGCTGTTTTTGGTGATATGGAAACCAGGAATTCAGTTACCTGGAACTCCATGATCTCTGGTTATTTGATGAATGGGCTTGATGTGGAGGCCTTTCAAACATTTTATCACATGAGGCTTTCTGGTGTGAAGCTCACAAAGATGACTTTTGCTCCTGTAATAAAGCTATGTGCTAACCATAGGGAATTTGGTTTTGCTAGGCAGCTTCATTGCCAGGTTTTAAAAAATGGGTTTGAATTTGATCACAGTATTAGAACAGCACTGATGGCAGCTTACAGTAAGTGCAGTCAAATTAATGATGCCTTCAAATTGTTTTCTATGATGCATAAAGATCAAAGTGTGGTCTCTTGGACAGCTATGATTAGTGGGCTCCTCCAAAATGATGGTACAGAACAAGCGCTTAACCTATTTTGCCTAATGATTAGAGAAGGAGTTAGACCAAATGATTTTACTTATTCTACCATCCTTACAGCTCAACCAGCTGTTTCTTCTATCCAAATACATGCACAAGTAATTAAAACTAATTATGAGAAGTCACCTACTGTTGGAACAGCTCTTTTAGATGCTTATCTTAAGCTGGGAAAAGTTGAGGAAGCTGCGAAAGTTTTTCAACTAATTGATGAGAAGGATATTGTGGCATGGTCAGCTATGCTAGTGGGGTATGCTCAAATAGGAGACTCTGAAGGAGCTGTTAGGATATTCATGCAGCTGGTAAAGGAGGGCATTAAACCTAATGAATTTACATTTTCCAGTGTTTTAAATGCATGTGGTGCACCTACAGCACCAGTAGAACAGGGAAAGCAGTTTCACGCATTCTCAATCAAATCAAGATTAAACAATGCTTTATGTGTTAGTAGTGCTCTTGTTACAATGTATGCAAAGAGGGGGAATATAGAGAATGCAAATAAAGTCTTCAGGAGGCAAGAGGAAAGGGACCTAGTTTCATGGAACTCAATGATCTCTGGCTATGGACAACATGGTTCTGCAAAGAAAGCTCTGCAGATATTTGAAGAAATGCAAAGCAAAAATGTAGAAATGGATGGTATAACATTCATTGGTGTATTTTCTGCATGTACACATGCTGGATTAATAGATGAAGGTGAAATGTTCTTTAATATGATGGTTAAAGATCACAACATTAAACCAACATTGGAGCATTATTCCTGCATGGTTGATCTATATGGCAGAGCTGGAATGCTTGAAAAGGCCATGGATATAATAAATGAAATGCCATTCTCAGCTGGTGCAACAGTGTGGCGAACTCTATTGTCTGCTTGCCATGTACACAGGAATTTAGAGTTGGGAAAACTTGCTGCAGAAAAGCTCATTTCACTTCAGCCACAAGACTCAGCTGCTTATGTCCTTCTTTCCAATATTTATGCTGCACTCGGAAATTGGCAAGAAAGAAATAAAGTGAGGAAATTAATGAATGAGAGAAGAGTGAAAAAAGAAGCTGGCTACAGCTGGATTGAAGTTCAGAACAAGACCCACTCATTTTTAGCTGGTGATGTTTCACATCCCATGTCAGATCGTATTTATTCAAAACTGAAGGAGTTAAAAGCTCGACTGAAGGCTGCAGGTTATCATCCCAATTATAGTTATGTACTTCAGGACACTGATGATGTGCAAAAAGAAGCTATCCTCTCTCAGCATAGTGAGAGGCTGGCTATTGCATTTGGGTTGATCGCCACTCCCCCTGGAACTTCTCTTCAAATTGTTAAGAACCTTAGAGTCTGTGGAGACTGTCACACTGTTATTAAGATAATATCAATGATTGAAGGAAGAGATATTGTTGTTAGAGATACAAACCGGTTCCACCACTTCAAGGGAGGTGGCTGTTCTTGCGGTGACTATTGGTGACTTTCATTTGGTTCCATTCAAAAGCTGATAATGTTGAGATTTCACAAAGTGATCTCAAGTCATTGAAGGAAGATATGTATGGAAACCAGGTGAACCACTTAAAGGGAGTTTGCTCTTTGCACACTGAATAATTGTGCCAATTGATTGGTTTAACTCAACTTGCTATAAACATGTGGATGCTGGGACTGAGCAAAAAATCGAATCCCTTCTACATGCTGGGAAGCAGTTTGAATCCTATTTGTGTGGTTGGCGGAACAATTTAGGTCCTATAAATGCAAGTTTTGCATGGTAAAGGTTGCTAGGGAATTTGATGGATTGTTCATTTGGTGGGCTCCTTGATTGGAGAGGCATGTGATGTCTACATGTTTTCTGACTTTGCTATAAACATATTGTAGGAGAGGTATGTGACAATTTACAGAAGCTCCTTCTTTTCCCCTCTTGGTTTTATTATTATTGTCATTTACTAATTATATGTCTGTCTTTTTTTGCAGCTTATTCACTCATTGGTGTACACAAGGAGTTTATCTTCTATGACTTTAAAAGCCATAGAATTGGAACATTTTGTCTTAGGGTTTGTTTCTAATTCTATTGCATTCACAATAAAATACATTGAGGGAATTTCACTTATAAATTGTTGGAACTTTTTGTTCCCATTCATTGGTAGATGCCTTTTAGCATTCACATTATGCAGGTATAAGTTATGCTAAAAGGAGAAAAAGACCCTGATATTATCTTTTTGCACTTTGCAGGCACTTATCGACATTCAGATTTAGAAAATGGGCAGTCTTACTTGAAATCAGAGAGTCATAATGGGAGAAGTTCCTATGCCATTTCTTACACACACACAACATATATGAATTTTCCAATTAAGAAGTTCTTTGCACCTTTCTCCATAAACCTCTTTGATGGTGGAGGGTTCTCCAGTAGAGCCAAGCGGATGAAACATCTTTGTCTGTGGTATGCAATAAAATATGTTTCTTTGGAACATATCAGATGGACTTAATCCTTAAGGAATTACTTAGAACTTGATAACACAAGAAGCATAATATTGAGAAATGAAAGAGAGCTGAACATGGTAATGGAGTTGGACATGACTGAGGGAGTCATGAATATACCAAGGAAGATAGTCAATTATTTGTCCTTATACAGAGAGGACGTTGAGACCAATAGGACTTCTGACGTTGTGGATACCATTGCTCCATGTCAAAGCCCCGAAGACAAAATTTCCATTACTGATCTTGTAAGGTGTGAAATCAACCCTGAAGGACATCTTCTCACCAGTCTTCAGAAATTTGAGCTTAGAAGGTGTAACTTTAACCATAACTCCTGTTGGATTATCTATATTTGCAGCATAAACTGTTTGACCTTCTCCATAATATGTAACCGTTCGTTTGATTGATAAACTTCCATTCATTTGGGCAACACCAATTGAGGGGTAGTTGAAATTATAGGAAGGTATTGGAGGGTTTTGGCAATGAATTAGGTTCCCAGTGAGGTTTTTTAGCTGTGCAGGGCTGGCACCTGTGCTGCAAAGAAAATTGATAACATCATTGGAATCAAAGTCATATACTAGTCCAGGGTTCACTGCTGCTTTTGGGTTCACATGTCCAGATCCATAGTCGAAAGGTGTAGTCTCAAAGCTGTTTGGATCTCTCCCAATCAGATTTCCTGTGTTATCTAGGACCGTAGCTGTGGTGACAGAACATGGTCTCCAATGTTAGATATAGCAGAATGATCAGTAGAACTATTTTGGTAGTGGAAATATTCTGCTAACGAAAGTAGTTAAGGAAAACATAATGTGGAGTTGTCTCGAACTTCACTCAAATGGGCAGTGCCTACCTGTTGTCATTATTGCAGACTTTATGGCTGCTGGACTCCACGAAGGTTGGCTAGATTTAATGATTGCTGCAACTGCAGAAATATGAGGACAAGACATGGAAGTGCCAGAGATTATGTTATAGTTGACTGATTGTTCAGCTGTGGATTCAGTAGCAACTGGAGACCATGCGGCCAGAATGTTCAACCCAGGTCCTGAAATGTCAGGCTGCAAGAAGGAATTTGCATCATGGGGTACATTCTCATGAGATTGCTGGCTCTTCCTATGTTTTAGTCTTGCAAATAAGATTAGGAAATATTACATTTATTTTTTATTTTTCTACGAATACTAATGTATGCCTAAAAGTTTTGAGAATATCCATTAGAAACTTAGAACGTTACCTTAATAATATCTGGAGATATAATGTTGGGTCCCATGGAAGAGAAGACAGCCATTTCTGGTGAAGGTTTGCTGCCCAGAATTGTTTTTGTGGGGTAGATTCTGGCAACAGGGCTCCTGTATTGACATAAGTAAATCAGTACTACCATTCAACTTAAGAATAGTTATAGTACATGTTTGAATCTAAATTTGCTCACTTTTCAGTTGCCATATATGCTTGTATCTCTGTCGCTTCTTTTTGGCCAATTAGAGTGCCTGGGATCACAAACTGGAAGCCGATATCTTTTGCCATTGGATCAATCAGTATAATCCCAACACCACCACCCTGTCTTACAAATATCCCTTTTTCTCTCCGGTTGTCGGTTAGAGCCTCAGTCGTGCATACAACAATCTTCCCCTTGATTAAGGCAGCATCTAGGGTATTATTCTTGCAAAAGCTGATAGACAATAGATAGGAATTCAGTCAATGGATTAAATTTTGAGAAAACTAATCACCTCGTTGCTAATATTGAAGGCTTTTGCTTCCACGTTCTGGGTTCAAGCCCACGCCATGAAACTACGGACCCCTTTAAGACTAGGAAAAAATGCATCCAAGAAAAAGAAATAGGAAACAGGGATAGATGAAAGGAGGCGGTTTTGATGATATACCGGGTATCATTGTTATTCTTTCTTGGAGCCCACCATATTATATCTGATCATAAATGCTGGCATACCTTGGGATGATAAGATACATGACTCGAAAAAGAACTAGTAAATAAAATATGGTGATCATGCAGACTTGTTATATGTGTTTCAGGCAGTTAAATTGTATTTCAATTCAACAGAGGAAATACCTAGCATTCTTTGGTGTAACTCCTTTGGCAGCTGCAGCACTCCCAGTTATTAAACTGTATGAGGTTTCCATTCTCATATGGTTTAAAGAGAAACCCTGAAAGCATAAAGATCATGTTAAATATTGACCGTATATTCAGTTTCTATGTGTGTTTTACTTTTTTATTTTTAGTTTTTTAGTTGTAAAGATGGAAAAGGGGTACGCTTAGCAAATAAAATTTTGCAACATAAAACCTTTAAGATTTTTGAATTTCCAAGATATATATTGGAGTTGAATTCTCTGTCGATGGAACTTGCAGCAACGGTGAGGATCCAAGGAGCAACATTGATTGCAGTGCCTGGGAAAAAGGAGTTTCCAGCTGAGGCAGAAACCAGAATTCCTTTCTGGAATGCATGGAATGCTCCAATTGAGATAGCATTTTGAAAGTAAATAGGTTGTGGTGGACGAGGGCCGAGGGACAGAGAAAGGATATCAACACCATCACTAATCGCATCATCCATAGCAGAAAGAACGTCAGCCCCATTGCAAAGCCTAAACCAACAGGCTTTGTAGATGGCAAGCCTCGCACTAGGTGCACCCCCTCTTGCAATGCCGTTGGCTATCCCAAATAAACTGACATTTGGTACAAGTGATCCAGCTATGGTTGATGCAGTGTGGCTTCCATGGCCCTCACTGTCTCTGGCTGACCGGAAGAAAGTCCGGTTAAAGGATTCAAGAGGTCCATTTTGTGCTTCATATCCTTGCGAATAGAATCTTGCACCTATAATTTTCCTGAAATCCCATTTTAAATCATATTGTTGGATTCATGATTGTTCCAATTTCGCTTGTGTGCGCCAATTCTTTAGCTTCATATGTTCATGCGTGAGAGTAATATAAAAAAATTTTAATTTAACTGATGCCATATCCTTCTTTAATGATCATATTTCCGAAGGAAATGATGTGATTAAGTGAAGTTTTTGTTGAATAAGTCTTTAGATTTTTTCCTGATATTTCGCCATTTCTTTGTACGTGTCTATATGTTTATTAGTTATTAGGAAGTAATTTAACGTGTTTTAGTTTTCAGCATAGTACTTGCTATTTTGTAGCTTTGTTTGTTGGCACCTTGACTATTTTATGGGCCATTTGTTTGATGACTGGAATTTTATTATCTGAAATATATTTCTTCCTATTCTTTTATTACTTGAGATCTATAGAGCATCTTGTGATATTTACTTTTCAGATTGCTTAGTTTTTCTTCATTGTTCATTACGCTTACCCACTGTTTGTTAAAATTCCTGAGAGAGTGTTTCAGTTTTTACCCCTTTTATTCAACATTTGGTATTAGAGCTTGGTTTGTTCAGAGATTGAAGGCAGCAGCAGCAAAGATGGCCTCCAAAACTTTTGTGCAGCCAGCAATTCCTCACTTTGACGGTCACCATGATCATTGGAGCATGCTAATGGAGAGTTTCTTGAGGTCCAAAGAGTATTGGAACGTGGTTGAATCTGGGGTAACAGAACCAACCGTCGGGATGTCAGAAGCTCAGAAGGCAAAGTTGGAGGCTTTAGAAGGATCTCAAAGCCAAAAATTATCTCTTTCAGGCAATTGATTGGACAATCTTGGAGACTATTCTTTGCAAAGATACCTGCAAGCAAATTTGGGATTCAATGAAGAAAAAGTACCAGGGAACCACAAAAACAAAGAGGCAGCAGCTTCAAGCACTTTGTTCAGAGTTTGAAATACTTCAAATGAAAAAGGGTGAGACTGTTACCGACTATTTCTCTAGGACAATGGCAATTGTCAACAAACTGAGGGCCCATGGTGATAGGACACAAGATGGTACTGTTGTTGAGAAGATACTTTGTTCAATGACACCAAAATATAATTTTGTTGTTTGTGCTATTGAGGGGCAAATGATCTTGATGAAATGTCACTTGATGAACTTGAAAGTTCTTTGCTGGTATATGAAAGGAAGCTAAATCGACAAGATAAGGATGAGTTAGCACTGAAGGTATCAATTGATCACTATTCTTCAACACCTCATAAAGCCAACAGGGGTAAAGGTAGAGGAAATATGGATCGGAGGTTCCATCAAACTCAATCTTATGATTCCTAAGGTAAAGGAAGGGGACGTGGCAAATTTCACTCAGCAACTAACAAGCCAAAGTCTACAGGCAAGTCTATTGTTGAGTGCTATCAAAGCCACAGGTATGGACATTACAAATCTAAATGTCGAGCTAATTTGCCTAAGAAGGATGGAGAAAAGTCTCATTTTACAGAAACAGAGGAGGAAATATCTTTGTTGATGGTCTGTCATGCAAGGGAAGAAACTAACAAGAACTTGTGGTATCTCGACACTGGCTGCAGCAACCATGTGTGTGGAGATAAGTCTGTTTTCTCCACTTTAGATGAATCATTCCAAGATACCGTGAAATTTGGAGATAACTTAAAAATTTCAGTCATGGAAAAGAGGCAAGTAAAAATTTGAACTAGAGATTGTGCTACTCAAACTATTTCGAATGTCCTTTATGTGCCAGAATTGAAGACAAATTTGCTGAGTATTGGTCAATTACAAGAGAGGTTATGAAAATGTCATAAAAAATGGAGTATGTCAAATTCATGACAACAATTTGGGCTTAATTGCTCAAGCTACAATGACTCAAAATAGGATGTTTCCTCTCCATCTCAAAACTCCTGGTCAGACATGCTTCTCAACAAGATTAAATGATGTGGCTTGGCTATGGCATTTTTGCTATGGTCACTTGAATTTTGGAGGCTTAAAGACACTTCAGCAGAAAACTATGGTCAATGGGCTTCCAGAGTTTAATAGCCGGTTAGCAAACAGCATCGAAATCCTTTCCCAAGCGAAAAGTCATTAAGAGCCAAGAAGCCACTAGAAATTGTGCACTCTGACATTTGTGGGCCAATAAATCTTGCATTAAATGGAGGGAAGAGGTATTTCATAACCTTTATTGATGATTATAGTCAAAAATTTTGGGTCTATTTTTTGCAGCATAAATTTGAAGCTTTTGTAGCTTTTACAAGCTATAAAGTGCTTGTTGAGAAAGAAGCTAGCAGTCTAATCAAAGTTTTATGCACTAAAAGTGAAGGAGAATATTTCTTAGATGAATTTGCAAAATTTTGTGACAAATAGGGAATTATGAGGCAAATTACAGCAGCTTATACACCTCAACAAAATGGTGTTTGTGAGAGGAAGAATCGCACTATTTTGGACATAGTGTGGAGTCTTTTGACAAGGAGTTGCATTCCAAAAAAATTTCTAGCCAAAGGCAGTCAACTGGAGCATCCATATTTTGAATAGAAGTCCCACATTTGCTGCTAAGGACATGACACCAGAGGAAGCTTGGAGTAAACGCAGACCAACAATGGATCATTTTAGAATTTTTGGGTGTGTTGCCTATGCCCATATTCTAGATCAGAAGAGGAAAAAGCTGGACAATAAGGGAGAAAAGTGCATCTTTCTTGGTGTTAGTGATTAATCAAAAGCCTATAAGCTGTATAATCCAAGCACCAAGAAAATTGTAATCAGTAGAGATGTTGTTTTTTATGAAGAACAGATTTGGTCATGGAGTAAAAATGGTAACAGTAAGTGTATTTTAACAGATTTTGATGGTGGTGATGATGAAGAAAAACAACGGTCCATAGAGAATGTGCAACAAAAACTTGATATGGATGAGCAACAACAATCTGAAATGAATGAGCAACAATCAACATCCACTTCAAATGCTCCAAAAGATGCTCAATCTCCATTAGCAGCCAAAAAGGATGAATAAAGGCCACAGTGAGTTAGAAAGCAGCCAACATGGATGACTGATTATGAGGTAACTGGAATAGACTATTCTGAGGACACACTTACTCATTTTGCTCTATTTTCTAATTGTGATCCTACAGTTTTTGAAGAGGCTACCAAAGAATCAAAATGGCAGAAGGCAATAGATGAAGAAATTGCAGCCATTGAAAGAAATAATACTTGGGAGTTAACTGAACTTCCAAAAGGGAAGAAGGCTATTGGAGTAAAATGGGTCTACAAGACAAAGTTGAAGGAGAATGGTGAGATTGACAAATACAAAGCCCGCCTAGTTGCCAAAGGTTACAAGCAAGAATTTGGTATCGATTATAAAGAAATTTAGGCACCGATTGCAAGGCATGATACGATTCGCTTGGTTATTGCTTTGGCAGCACAGAATTCATGGCCACTTTATCAACTGGACGTCGAATCAGCCTTCTTGCATGGAGACTTGGATGAGGAGGTATTTATTCATCAAACCCCTGGTTATGTTAAGGTTGGAAATGAGCATAAAGTTTATAAATTAAAAAGGGCATTATATGGACTAAAACAAGCCCCACGGGCTTGGTATAGTCGTATTGAATCTTATTTTTTGAAGGAAGGTTTTCAAAAATGTCCTTATGAACATACACTTTTCATAAAATCAGAAGGTGGGAAGATGCTTATTGTCTACTTGTATGTAGATGACTTAATCTACACTGGAAATGATATGGTTATGTTTGACAAGTTTAAGAACTCTATGATGGCTAAATTTGAGATGTCAGATCTTGGATTGATGCATTATTATCTTGGTATAGAGGTGAATCAATCTGCTGCAGGTTTTTTTATTTCTCAGAAGAAGTATGTTCAAGACATCTTAGACACGTTTCGAATGAAGAATTGTAATCTTGTCAGCACCCCAATTGAACTAGGTTTGAAGCTTGTTAGGAATCCTGGGGGGATGGAAATTAACAGCACTTTGTACAAACAAATTGTGGGAAGCTTGATGTATTTGACTGCAACAAGGCTAGATATCATGCATGCTGTAAGTCTTATCAGTAGATACATGAACTGTCCAAAAGAAGTTCATCTTTTGGCAACAAAAAGAATTCTCAGGTACTTACAAGGTACAGTTGAGTATGGTTTGTTCTATGAAAATGGAGAAAAGTCAAATTTGTTTGGGTTCACAGATAGTGATTTTGCAAGAGATCTTGATGATAGAAAGAGTACATCTGGTTATGTTTTCATCATGGGTACAACAGCAATTTCATGGACATCTAGGGAGCAATCAATTGTGACTCTTTCAACTACTGAAGCTGAATTTGTTGCTGCAACAACATGTGATTTTCAAGCAATTTGGCTGAGGAAAGTTCCTGAAGAATTGCATGTCAAACAAGAAGGTCCTATGCTTATTTTTTGTGATAACAATTCAACAATCAAACTTTCAAAGAATCCTATTTTGCATGGAAGGTGTAAGCATATGGATGTGGAATTTCATTTTTTGAGGGATCTCACAAATGAAGGAGTCATTGATTTGATCTACTGTAGGACTAAAGATCAAATAGCAAACATTTTTGCAAAGCCTCTCAAGTTATCAGCATTTAGGAGACAAAGGGAGTTGCTCACTGTTTGTACTTTTGACAACCATTAAACTGATCATTTGCTAATGTTTAGTTTAGGGGAGGGTTTGTTGAATAAGTCTTTAGATTTTTGCCTGGTATTTAGCCATTTCCTTGTACGTGTCTTTATGTTTCCTAGTTATTAGGAAGTAGTTTAACATGTTTTAGTTTTCAGCATAGTGCTTGCTATTTTGTAGCTTTGTTTGTTGGCACCTTGACTATTTTATGGGCCATTTGTTTGATGACTAGAATTTTATTAACTAAAATATATTTCTTCCTATTTTGTTATTACTTAAGATCTACAGAGCATCTTGTGATCTTTACTTTTCAGATTGCTTAGTTTTTCTTCATTGTTCATTACGCTCACCAACTGTTTGTTAAAATTCCTGTGAGAGTGTTTCATTTTTGACCCCTTTTATTCAACAGTTTTAATATAAAGAACCTGTCTTACTTGTTGCAGTTGGACAATTCAAACTTCTCACCAGGCATGCATTCTCCCTTGAATTTCTCAGGCACAGGGCCCAACCCTCTATCATCAAAACTCTCTGATTCTGGCCAAATTCCTGTGAAGTGAAAATAAACTCAAATTTCTCATCCAATACTGATTGCAGCAAGGAGAAATCAGGAAATGGGAAAAAAAAAAAAAGAAAAGAGTACAAAGCCATTACCGGTGTCGATGACGCCAACAATTACATTGGATAGTGAGTCCAATTGAGGCTGCTTATATTGTTGCATGGAGCTCACTCCTAAAAATTCCCATGAATGTGTGGTATGAATCTGATTCATCCTGCTTTCAAACACAGAAACAACTGACTTGCTCTCTGCAGCATTGCAAAAGCAATGGATTAGAGGATCTACATCCTGTTATCAGTGGCGAACTATGTTGATGTGTCGAGAGTTATTGACCCAGCAGAGATGGAAAAGAACTTTGTCTCTTCATCATTGGAGTTCATATATGTTGGAGATTTTATAAAATGATACCTGCAATTTGTTGAGCTTGTTCTGGTGTAAGAATGGCAGAGAAGCCTCGGAAGCTTTTACTGTAATGATGAACGGTTATTTGTTTTGCTACTTCCATACTGCAATTAACGTAATAAAACTTCTGTGAATCTATCAAAATCTTTTGCTCAAGCTCTCAAATAAATGACTGTTGGACTAGAAGTTACAACATGCCTTCCAGTAACTGAAGCAAGCATCTCATGGTTTGCTGTGATGACAGATTCTGAATCGGGATGGGAATGCTCTCCCATGTAGACAATATAATGCTGAGAATCATTCCAAGGAAGAAAGAGAAGCAATACCAGGTTAGACATTACTTATGACATTAAGATTATGGACAGTATTGATGATTTCATTTCATACCTTTGTACTGGCAATGACTCCATGCATCAAAGCATATTTAATAAGCAATAGAAGATGTAGAACTCTAGCAAGTCTCATGGCATGTAAAAAGAACATCATTATCTATACCAAAAATAGAAAGCCTAGGTACTGTAAATGGCTATGAACCATAACAGAAGAAACGCACTTCCTATAACAAAAACATTTTCAATCTTAAGATCGTCAAAAACCCTAATAATACCAGCGTCATATTATTCTGGTTCAATGTCTGCTAGCATGAATTGAGGCATATTCCAAATAATACATTTGATTTATGTTAAGGTATATATCTATTTGGACTACTAATTCTGTGTCCGGCTTTTGTTGCTTATCTGCTGGGATTTCCAAATGGAACCTCAAACCAATAGAAGTGTAATATTGGATTACGATAAGGGTGCAGGTACATGTGCTCATTCAAGCATCAGAGGAAAATTCAAGCTAGTAAGTAGGAAACTAAAACACATTTTCTCTATAATTTTCTAGCTTACACACACACACCACACACATTTTCCACATACACACACACACCACACACATTTTCCACATACACACACCCCACACACATTTTTCTCTATATTTTTCTAGCTTTCACACTCACATACACACATTTTTCTTTATAACTAAATCTCAACCCGCACTTCACCCAGTTTGCTTGCTTTTTTTGAAAAAAAATTACTAATTATAAATTTTTATAATAATAATTAACTATAAATATATTTTAGAATTGTTTAATAAATAGAAATTTTAAATGTATTAATTTATTTTAAAAAATTGCAAATGGGAGATACAGAAAAAGAAGATTTAAGCATACAAATCTAATTAACTTAATTTTAAAAAATAAAAACCAATTTTCATAATTTGTTACTATATTAATAAATTATAAAAATTTATCAATAATTTCTATCTATTCTTTTGCTCTATACTAACAAATCATTTGATGTTATTCTTTTCTCTCTCTTATCATCTCCTCTTCACCTCCTATCTCTATCTACTCACTTACTACATTTTTTTCAATTTCTTGCATCTGATCTCTTTATATTTTTCTTCGGGGCACCTTCAATTTTTCTAATTTAATTTGTTTCAACATCATGTTATTGTCATGCATCTTAATTTGTACTTAATGCATGTATCTCTCCTCATTTCTTTTTCTTAGACTGGTATTTTTTAATATTATTTTATACTTTCCATTACTTTCTTTTGTCTTCATCTCACTATTATTCTCTCATATTATCTTCATAAATCCATCTCTATATTAGTAATTTATTTTTTTATTATCCTTGATCGCTTATCCTATCTTCCCTATTTTTCTTCTTTAGTCATTCATTGCATATATATCTTTTTTAATTCAATTTGTTTTCCTCTTTCATTATATATATTGAAATTGTTGTCAAGTCAAAATTTAAACGGCCTGATTTATTAGCATTATTCTCCTTGTATTTAATTTTTCATTTGAGGCAAAAAAATTTTAATTTTTCGCATACTTTTAGTCAATCTCTCATTCATTTTTGTTGAGATTATATCTCTCAGCTTCCCCCTCATATTTTATATCGTTATATTTATTTTTTTACCATACATATTATTTTTTTATTGTACTTATGATTTTAATGATTACAAAATATATTTGAGTGACTAATTTATTCATTTAAATATGTAATTAAACTTCTAAAAGATTGCAAAAGTAAGTGAACTTAAACCACACTAAAAAAGACCAAAAAGACTAAAAAATGTGTAGAGAACTAGCTCTAGAAATATGCAGCCTGCTCTGATGAAGGCAAGTGCAGAGAGTCAGCTCTAAAAGCTGCAGCTAGCTCTGCGGGACAAAAATTCAAGCAAGTCTTTTGGTGCGCACAAAAAACCGGCGCAAAGCCGACTTTAACTTTGTAGCCGGCTATGATGACATATTTAGTACACAACAGTCGAGTTATTTGAAGATTATTTAATGTGTTTAAAATCGGAATCCCAAAGCCGACTTTACGAAGAAAACAGAACATGCAAGAAACTTGAAAAGCCAGCTGCATAATTATAAGCCGGCTATATAGAGTCCGCTCTATACTTTAAGCCGATTGTACAGACAATTCTGTAACTCGAAATTACATGACTTGAAAAGCATTTAAGGACCTCCAACAGCTAAAAACAGTTATCTTCGACTAAAGGGCTATAAATATGGTTGATAGCAGATCTGAGATTAGTTTTAGAAATTATATTAAATATCTTTACTTACCAACTTGTGCTTTAACTTGAGTTTTTTATCTTTTCTTGTAATCTTGTTCTTGTTCCATTTGTGAATTATCTTAGGGGTGTGATTATTCCTTCAAGAGTGATTTGTAGAGAGAATTCTTGGGGTTTATCTTGTAAATGGGTGAGATTTAAGAAAAACACACTTTTTCTTGTAAAAGTATTGAGTAGCTCCTTTAAACCACCATTGTTTTTCTTAGGCTTAAGTATTGAAAAAGGACCCTAACTTTTACTAAATTCGTAATTGAGGTCCTCAACATTTATTGCACTCAATTAAGGTCTTAAACTCACACAAACTCTCAAATTAGGACCCAATTGGATGGAATCTTAACATCCGTCAATTCTCACTTGACTGTCCATTGCGATCTATTACCCCCTCAGTACGTGGCATGCCAATTGGAACCATAAAGCTGACTATAAAAAATATTTTCCAACATGGCATATGGGGCGGGATCTTTCCCTCCGCATAACAGGTGGTCCCACAAGACTCCTTTTCCCAGACTCTTTTTTTATTTTTGACTATTCAACACCTTTTTAATATAATATAATTCGTAAATTCAGAGACTCCATCCGCAACGTGAAGAAATTGCGAGGCTTAAACCCAAAGAACTTCTGCGGAGCCGATATCTACAACAGCATTATGATCCGTTACGTCAAGGCTTCGCTGACATACCGAGCCAACCGGAGGATTCTGTGGTGATCGATTTCAACTATTACCGCTTCGACAATGCTTCCACCCCGAGGCTAAACGAAGACATCTGGGAAGAAATCGAGCAAATGGCATTCTTCAAGTATGGCGTGCGGCCACATTGGGCGAAGAATAGGAATCTTGGGTTCTTGGGAGTGCAGAGTAATTACCCAAACTTCAACAAATTCATTGCGGAGAAGAAACAATTAGACCCGCAAGGCATATTCTCTAGCAAATGGTCGGATCAGATACTGTTGGGAAGCAAAGCTATTGATAAAGGCAACTGGTGTGCACTAGAAGGACAGTGCATTTGCTCGGAGGACAAACATTGCAATCCGAGCACAAGGTACCTCTGCAAAGAAGGTCTTGTTTACAAGGAAGCCAAAGTCTGTGGATATTCGTCATCCTCCATTGTGTAACGATTCTATGACACCACCGAACTCCATCTCGCCACCAAGAACAGCCTCAAAACAGAATGGCTCAAGGTTAGCAAAACCCAAAAACAAAAAAGAAGAAGTCGTCCATAATTTTGAGGGAATTCAGTTGCAATGGAAGTATGTCTGCATAGAGCCTTTGAAGATCTTGCAGGGAGAAAGGCAAGCTGTTGGGCGGAGAAGTTCCAAGGATTGGGTAGGCTGCTATTGGGTGGAGAAGAAGATCTTGCATGGAGAGAGGCAGATTGAAAATTCTAGGGATCTCACCCCCAAATCGTGAAATAGGAAAGAAGAAGAGAGATGGGAGAAAAAGGAGCCATGGGATCACACATGCCACGTAGGAATGTAAATTTTTACAATCAGCCTTATGGGTCTAGTTGGCATGCCACGTATTGAGGGAGTAATAGACTGCAACGGACAGCTAAGTGAGAATTGACGGATGTTAAGATTCCATCCAATTGGGTCCTAATTTCAGAGTTTGTGTGAGTTTAAAACCTTAATTGAGTGCAATAAATGTTGAGGACCTCAATTGAGAATTTAGTAAAACTTAGGGTCCTTTTTCAATACTTAAGCCTTTTTCTTATTAAAGAGTGTAAAGGAAATCTTTGGTGAGTGAAACCAAAGTAGAGGATTAGGT